TGCCATTAGGTTAAACCCCAATTTTGGATCCTGAAATTTTGTATGGGCCCCCAATCTGGTCCCTTAACAAATAAATCCCTGTTTTGGGACCGAAGACGAGCCAGAATTTAAAATTTATACAGTAAAACAGCAATTCATCTAGTTTAGGGACTAAATTGGGGATCTGTACCAAATTTGAGGGGCCAAATTGACGTTTTACTGCATGGTTATAGCCCTACCCTTAATTTTATTCTTGAGATTGTCGTAAACAGAGCTTATGTTCTTAACTTTGTTGCATCTACCAGACGGATAGGCAGTCGGTTAATGGTCAACCCATTTAGTTGGGCAGTCTTTTCCCTTTTTGTTTATACATCATACGTACTAACTTACCATATGCTATTGCTGGAAATATTTTTTCAGCTTGATTCCCTGAAGCCCAAGGAGAGCTTGGTACTCAGGCAGAGATACGGACTTGACGGTAAAGGTGACAGAACATTAGGAGAAATTGCTGGGAACTTAAATATTTCAAGAGAAATGGTTCGGAAGCATGAAGTTAAGGCTCTGATGAAGCTTAAACATCCAGCTCGAGTGGATTATCTTCGTCGACATGTTGTCTGATCAGCTTATTATCTTCTCTTTCACCTACATAAATATTTCTTCTCTGTATGTTCTCTCATCTCCATGCTTTAGCTATATCCTTATTATCTGTATCATAGTCATTTAACTTCATCAACATAAAAATAGAATCTCATACACCAGAATGTATAGTTTGAATTCTCAAGATCAAAAATCACCAATTATACCAGTATTGTCTTTTCCTCCGTGATAATGACCTGATATTGTTTCACATGGCAGACTGATTGCATTAGGTCCTACACTATCTTCATAATGGCTGCAGCATTTTAGTTTACACAATGTTCCAGAATATGTAAATTTTCATTTTGGTTTCGCACTCTCTCCCCCATTATTTCTGACGTTTTGAATTGGTATGGTGTTAGTAGATGTCATTTTAGCAATTTGAACTGGTTAGGTGTTTGTAGCTCAACTCCAAACAATAGAAATTTATTCTTTTCTTGGAAATCATTCAAAGCTAAAACAAGTATGACAACGTTTATGAATTCTTATTTAAATCATCTGCCCTCATGTCATATGTTTCTCTGACTTCTGTCATTATCATAGCAATCCATTCTAGGCAAGTAGGAAGTTCAATATACATAATCCCAGTACAAAGGTTCACAATTAACTCTGCTGCTTCGCAACCCAAGATGGCTGGAAAGAATGAAAGAAATAAAGAATACTATTTGAAGGCATTGAAATCCAGTGGCCAGATTGTTTTAGGAGTCTTTTTCTTTTGCTCTTTTCTTCTCTCTGCAAACCCTTCACTGTGCCTCATTATCCAAAATCTCTCTATTTCTTCTGCTTTCCTCCCTGGAATCCTTCCAGCTATCAAATCCCACCTGAAAATTGTAACATCGATTAACAGGGTAGAAAAAGAAAAGAAAACATTCATTAAGGGGATAAAATGGAAAATTTCTTTGCTCAATAAAGGGGATCCCTTTAATTTGTATTCTGGAATTTCATTCCTCTACGGATGGTCCCCCAAACAAAATTAAAAAAATGAAAGCAAATATTCATTAACCCTGTCCTCTGCCATAAACGATAATCCGCTTTGGTGGGAAAGGGACTTATCACAACATTTCTTTTTCCATGCATCGTTCAAATAAAGTCTAGCTTAGCGATTGCCATATCTCACAGGGAAAAAAAAAAAAAAAAAAAAAAAATGTCTAACTTATCTAATTTAGTTAAATTGCATATTTACAAAATATTTGATTTGTGGGAAATAAAATGGAGAGGAAGGAAGAGAAATTGAAGGATTATATATTCTTTCATTTTTTTTTCCATCCCCCTCCCCTTCCTCCTCTCCTCTCATTTGAATGAGTAATTAAAGTAAAAAAATAAACTAACTCTACATCCCTTTCCACCACTTCAAATTTTATAATAATCAAATTGAGGAATTTTCACCCTTCCTTTAAGCCAAACATATTATTAAGGTAGGCATGCTTTCTTCTTAATAGCTCCCTTTCTCTGACCAGCCTATACTGTGTATGGATGAGACCTTCTTTTTCCTCTAGCTTATCAAATCTAGCCAACTTGAATATTTAATGAAGTTAACTCTGTAAATATGTGGAGTGGAGCTGAGGATTAGAGTACTCAAGCTCAAGCTCGAGTCAAGCTCACACTTGATCGAGCTTGGAGCTCGAGGGTTGAGCTCGATCGATCTTGGCTTGTTTAGAAATTGAGCTCAAGTCTACATAAGAACTATAATACTTGAGCTCCTCTAACAAAGGAGTAGAACACCAAATGAGCTTAAATTTAGTAACTCGTGGGTCTCAACTCACTAAAAACTCTAAATGAAAGCATGCTCTCTCCATGGTAGCTCACCTTTCTCCAACCAGTCTATACATTCTGTAGATGAGATCTTCCTCTTGTTCATTCATGTTGATGAACTCCCACTCAGCACTACTAACTTCTGCTAAAATCCAAAAAGCAACAAACTAAATAGATTAAAAAACAGGAAGTAATAGGAAAAAAAACACAAAATTCAAAGAAAACTTTAAAACTAACCTTCAGATTCATGATCTTTGGTCATCTTGGCTTGTTTCCTGCAATGTTGTCGGTCCATACTATCTTCAAACACAGAGAGAAGAGGAGAGGGGGGAGAGAAAAGGAAAGTGAGAAATGGATGTGTTTTGTATTTATTGTATGTGCCATATCTATATACATACGGTCACCCCAAGTCCCCCCAACCTACCTAGAAATGTGCTTTGCTTGTTTTGACTCGTTGGCTTGGAGACTTGTAGTTGATTTTTTGTTTTGTAGAGATTAAGGATTGAAACCTAAATTTATAATTAAAAATACAAATAATTCTACCACCAAACCATATCATTAATGGTGAAGACTTGTAGTTCATAAGCAAGGATCATTCAAGGAAAATGGCAAATTAAGCTATATATCAGAGGAATAAATTCCATCAAAGATGAAGGTTAGATCGGTAAATTTACATCCTTTTCTGTGAATTTTTATTGCAACTCATGACTCTGCAAACTATCTGTCGTCAGTACTTGGACATGATGTTAAGTTGGAACTGTCTTTCTGTATTATAGCTCAATATTGGCATGTTATGATTCTTCATCCAAGGGAACAAACGTCAAAAACGCCACATCTGTTGTTGTTTTTGGAAGGTTGGGTGAGAGCATGCGAGGTCAAGGTTCATGATTTCTCTAAAGTACCATTTGCTCTATTACTTGGGAAATGAAACAAACCAAAATCTCGAAAGCTAAAGTTGGCTGAGCATATAAGAGTTAGGAAAAGGAGAAAGATTTCTTCTCTATTTCTGATTTCAACTTCTGTCATCATTGCTGCTCTTTTCTTGTGAGTAATAATAACTCAGTCCTCAGGACATTAGTTGCCCTGCATTTACTTCTACCAAATTTCAAAACTTGAAAATGAGTCGAAATTATGGAGTATTAATGGTTGAAGTTGTTTTATCATTAATGTATAAGATTTTCATACCTTTATAATAAAAGTTCGAACCTATAGTCCCTCTCCTCATCCCCTTTCCCCTTAGCCCCTTGTTCTACTTCTATTACACAAAAAAGGGGAGTCAAGGTCTTTATATATATTTACATATATATTTTAACATTAAGATAAAATTTGAATTTCATATTTCTACGTGAAGATATGAGAAATTCTTTTATAAAAATGAGATAATTATTAAACCACAATAACATTCTCAAGATCTTTTTGTATATAATAATATAATATTTTATAATTTTAATTGTAAAATATGAAAAATAAAATATAAATTATGATATTAAAGAATTATTTTTAAAAAATAATTTAAATTATATAATTTAAATTATCAATATCTTTTTATATATGTACGAACTATAGTAGGAATTTTTTGTTCTTATTAAAAGATCATTTTAACTTCTAAAAAAGCCAAAAACATTCCTTAAGAAACTTTTGTTAGGCCGATTTGTAGGTTCTGCAAGTAGTCAAGCCAAATTAGTCTGTATAGAAGTTTGTGAGAGTAAAAGACACGCAGGCACTTCAGAAATGGTGTTTTTTTTTTTTTTTTTAGGCCGTGAGGTACTTTAAATTCTATGTTTTTATTTTCCAAGGCAAGACAAGGAACATCTGATGCATACCGGTGACTGGTGTAGTGGTGAGGACCACAACTGACCACAGAATTTGGCATACAGGCTTTTATCAAAGAGAAGAATTTGTGGTCCTTGTTTCCCTTTTTCTTTCATCTAGGCTTGTTTACCAAGTCTATTAAAAAAGGAACCGGTCTTTAAGGTCAATGGGTGCTTGGTGAGGTGGTCGAAGCTTTTAACTCCATCATTGTTGTGAATTTTATTAAAAAGTGACTTGATGGCCGCACATTTCATTTGAGGAGGTGGAATGTTCACATAGTCTGAGAATCAGTTGCTAACAATTAATTCATACTAATTTCTTAACCATTACCTTTGTAAAAAAAAAAAAGTTTATTAAAAAAAATACCATAACCTATTTTTTTTAAAAAAAGTCTATTAAAAAACTAAAAATAAAATAAGTTTTATTTTCAATTATTTTATTAATATTATATATTTAAATATAAAAATACTATGTATCATTTTTATTTTAAAAAATTAAAGTATTAATTTTAAATTATTTTATTTTATTTTATTTAAAATTTAAAATTTTATTTTATTAAATGTTAATACTTATATTTAAAATTTTAAAATTTAATTTAAAATTTAAAAACCTATTTTCATAAATGTTGATCTATGAGGTTAGAAATCATTTATATTATAACACAAAATTAGTTTTAAAGATATATATCAATATTTAATAAAATACATTTTTTAAAATTTAAATTAAATTTTAATTAAATAAATTAACAAAAATTAAAATTAAAATTAATTTTTTAAGTAAAAAAATTGATATGTATTTTTTCATTTAAATATGAAATATATTTTACGTTACATCAAATTACATGCAGACTGTCAATGTCATTATTTATTTGATGATAATATCACTACTTTGTCCCTGAAGTTTGAATTTGAACCAAGTTAATCTTTAAACTTTAAAAATTACTACAATCATCCTTAAACTTTTTTTCCGTACCAACTTAGTACTTCTGCCCACGGAATTCCCCACGTTTCATGTTAACTTGCCACAAATTCAAATTTTTAAAGAAAATGATTCGGAGAGAATTTTTTTAAATAGTTTGATTCTATTTTTTTAATAATTAGTTGTTTTTATTTATATATAATTGGTAACATTAAATTTATTTATTTATTTAATAATATATATAAATTATATCAAAAAATAATATAAAAAATTATCTTTATAACACCATATAATTTTTAAACCTTCGTAACGACGTGGAAAGGAAAAACAGGCTGAATTGATTATTTGGCAATTTTACTCCTCCACGTTAGTTTCTTTAAAATTTAATGACAGTGTTAACCCCCTTGGGCTCTTGATTGTTGGGTGTTTAATTGTTTATCCCATGTAATACATGAGTTAAGTGATATATAGAATGTCTTATATAATTTTTAGTTAACTACTCTTAAGGTTATGATGGATTTTATCTTTATATCATTTCACTACTTTTTAGAAAGAAAATGATAAGTGAGTGCTTTGATTGGTTCATAAATTAGAGTAATTAAATTAAAAAGTTAAATCATTAATCAAGATTTAACTCTAATTAAACTTAAAATAAAATAACTTTAATTTTGATCGTCTTTCTCTTGCCTTCACCCTCAAGTCTGGTTTCTGGAAGAAAGCCCAGAAATTTTGAGGCACAGTCTCCTGCTTGATTCCTCTGTGAAACCTTTTAACACCATATGCTTTCTTCTCCTCACCTAAACACGGAGCAATCACATGAGAAATCCAGATCTGCGTTCCAGGTTCCACTCTGTCGTCTGATGGTCATTGCGCGAGGCGGTCACGAAAGCTGCTGGTGTTCGAGCAAATCTGCTCCAGCGACCACAATGCTTCTTGTCCTGCGCTTCAACTCTTTTTCTCCGGTGCCTTTCCTGTGACAGTTCTCTAATTCTTAGAGAAATTGAGCATGGTAACATTAAAGAAAATAGTGAAATCGAGCATGGTAGCATTAAAGAAACCAAAGAAATGGAAGAGGACAAAGGAGATAGAGAAATGAGAGAGGATAAGGAGGAAGAGAAAGAACGGAAGAATAGAAAGCCAACACCGGTGGCGGGGAAGGGAAAAAGAACACCGGTGCTGTATAACGGAGGAGAAGAGTGACGTATGCGGTTATGGAGAGAAATCGGGGAATTAGGGAAGACGATAAGATAGTAGGAATTTTTTGTTCTTATTAAAAGATCATTTTAACTTCTAAAAAAGCCAAAAACATTCCTTAAGAAACTTTTGTTAGGCCGATTTGTAGGTTCTGCAAGTAGTCAAGCCAAATTAGTCTGTATAGAAGTTTGTGAGAGTAAAAGACACGCAGGCACTTCAAAAATGGTTTTTTTTTTTTTTTTTTTTTTAGGCCGTGAGGTACTTTAAATTCTATGTTTTTATTTTCCAAGGCAAGACAAGGAACATCTGATGCATACCGGTGACTGGTGTAGTGGTGAGGACCACAACTGACCACAGAATTTGGCATACAGGCTTTTATCAAAGAGAAGAATTTGTGGTCCTTGTTTCCCTTTTTCTTTCATCTAGGCTTGTTTACCAAGTCTATTAAAAAAGGAACCGGTCTTTAAGGTCAATGGGTGCTTGGTGAGGTGGTCGAAGCTTTTAACTCCATCATTGTTGTGAATTTTATTAA